TTTTATATATATATATATATATATATATGTGTGTGTGTGTGTGTGTGTGTGTGTTAAAATAATATAAATTATAAATCATATAAATTAATCTTAATGTATTATTTTTTATTAGTTATATTAATTAAATAATAGTAGTTAAATTATTAATTTAATTCTTTTTTTAATCTCACGACATATGTATATGTATGTGTATACACATACACATACATACATTATATGTTTTAAATCTAAAATAAATTACAGACAACAGTATAGATGTGCAAGATACAGTAAAGACTAGTGTCCACCCTGTTACTGAATTATAAAAAATTAATTATAATATTAAAATTATTATAAAATTGAATAAATAAAATATTTTAATAAGCATATATATGTCAAACATAAAAATATATGAAAAAAACAAAAACAAAAAAAACAAGACCACCAGCTGTGATCTATGTATCATCAAAACAAGTCTTGAATGATGCATATGCCAATGCATAATTTCAAGCCTTCATTTCGAATTACAGTGGTTTGTTTGGCAAAAGCACCGTTAAAGCATCACAGAATCAACATAACAGGTTCAACTACAAGTGACATTCGTCAGCTATATCCATTCACAAACATAAATATCACTGCATAATCAGAGGATGTTATTTTGAGCATGTAAACACACGATGTGCAAGATACAGTAAAGACTAGTGTCCACCCTGTTACTGAATTATAAAAAATTAATTATAATATTAAAATTATTATAAAATTGAATAAATAAAATATTTTAATAAGCATATATATGTCAAACATAAAAATATATGAAAAAAACAAAAACAAAAAAAACAAGACCACCAGCTGTGATCTATGTATCATCAAAACAAGTCTTGAATGATGCATATGCCAATGCATAATTTCAAGCCTTCATTTCGAATTACAGTGGTTTGTTTGGCAAAAGCACCGTTAAAGCATCACAGAATCAACATAACAGGTTCAACTACAAGTGACATTCGTCAGCTATATCCATTCACAAACATAAATATCACTGCATAATCAGAGGATGTTATTTTGAGCATGTAAACACACGAGCTCATTCATAACTGTCATGGAGACATTAACGGCATCTTGACGGACGACATTCACCGACAAACATCCATAAATGACAAGCAGCCGTCAATTAATGGCATATGATGGAGAAGCTCACCTCGGATGTAAGCGCAGCTCTTGTCTGGTGCTCTTCTAGGTGGGCGTTAATGGATGCTGCAGCACCTGACGACGCTGTGTGTGAACGCGTCCAAAACGCCTGCTTTTGCGTGCGTATTATCGCGTATATTAGCGAATGACAGCGGTTTTATGGAGATTTACTGACGGGTTTATTTGACAGCGCGCTGTGTGTATAGTAGTAGGGTGGAGCAACGGCCGCAATTTACCGGCGTTTATAACGCTCTAATTCGGTCTAATTCCGCACTGAATGTAAACATTAAAATCAGATTAGGAACACAGTGACCCCAAAAAGTATTTAAACACTTAAGCCACACTTACAAATGAAATGTCATTGCATTAGAGATCAAAATACAACCCCCCAAAAATAAAACCGGCCAATCAATCAATCAATCAGTCAGTAAATAAATAAATAAGGAAGTAGTATACACGCACATTTTAAGTGTACATATTTTTACAAATGTTTTAAACTATGAAATATTATTTACTAATAAAAAATATTATTAGCCTACTACTACAAAGAATGAAGGTCGCAGAGAAAAATCTACCATACATAGGCTATATACGATAGCATAGTAAAAAATTAAGGAGGTGTTTACCATTTGCAACTAAAAACAGAAAACTTTTTTTTGGCGTTTTGGCCAGATTCTGGGGGTCTGAAAATACAAAGTTTTGAAAACGTATTTCAAAGTGCAAGTTTTTGAAATTGATTCTGTTGTCATCTCTGTTACAAAAACAAACTCTGCTACAAAAACGCAAATTTGTAAAAAACTGTGATGTAGTGCGCATGGGTATTACATGTTCCTGTATGTTCTTCGCAACGTCGCCAACTACTGGCCTGGAATGCATTATACAGCGTTTTGAATTCGTTTTCGTGGATCTGTGTGAACAGAGATCTTGTAACAACGTTGTCGTCTGTACATGAAAAATACAAAGGATTTTTTTTCTGTTTATAGCACTTCGTTGTCATGTAAACATACTTTAAGATACTCACACTACAAACATTTTGAGAGAAAAAATTAATTCTCTTGTCGTTCCTGTGAATTGTATTTTGTGACGTTAACAATGAGATTCCATTCGAAATGACTAGAATTCGCAGAACAACCGTAAATGTAACCATGGGTTTACAAAAATGCGCAGAACCCATGTGACTCTGCATTTCATGAATTGAAAATGTCTGTCCTTATTCTTAATAAATAATAATTGTATTTTAAAAGCGAAAAGATACTTGATGCTAATGAATATAAATGCAATTAAAGGGCGTTATAAAGCACAACATGCTGAAACTTAATTTCGACAATATTCACAATTTAGCATGGCCTTTGTACGCGATTTCGTAAATGCTGTTTAAAATGAAGTCAAAATGTTTTTGAAACATTTTGGCGAACTTTACGAATCCACTAAAATGCGGCCAGTTGGTTAAAAGTCATCAGCAAAATGACTCAGAAAAGTGAAGTTGGTTTTGAGAAATTCAAGCATCATTTGCATGTCACATATTTTGTTTTCAAATTCTTACACAAAACACAGAATTAGGTACATAAATACTGCAAAATGTGAAGCTTTATTATAAATAACACCACAATGGATGTACAAGAACATTACTGTATGCTACTTGGGTCCTCAGGGTATTTCAATCTATTTGTGGATCTCAGTTAAGAATGAGGAGAGACGCCTGTATTTTTTGGTAAACAGGCCTGAACACCTTAAATGCTATCTAATTTCGATAATTTAGAGCAATACTATACATAAGGAAGAACTAAGTGCGCCATTTACGCAAGAAGTGGATGCATAAACATCTACAATATGACTTTTATTTTGTTGGAAACATATTTGTGGCATAAATAAGTTTCCTTTTTGCATTTTTAAGCACAAAATTATCATACAACTACAATAGTACAGTAGCCTATTTCGTGCCATATGCTAATCAGGACATTTTCTGGGAGTCAAATTAGAACCGAATCTGCATACACGGTAGCAGATAATCATGATGTATAAATATTTTCATATGCCATATCTATTGTGAGTCTATTTAACTCATATCTACTGAAAGGCAACACATATCTTCTCATCTGGCTGCAAAGACTCTCACAGGCCTCCATACATAGTTACAGAGCGTTTCTTTCCCAAGGCGCCAGTCCACATAAGGAAACACCATATTTATTGCCTTTGTATTATTTTGTAGTGACTGCTGGTCCAACACCACTCTGTTCTAGTTCTGCTATCACAGACACGTGTTTAAACTCTGCCGGTTGGTGGTTGAAGGTCTCAACCAATCGGAAAGTCTCAAGCCGCTGCGATCCGTAAAACAGCTGCACCTGATTGGCTAAGCACTGTGCCTGGTGGACAGTCTGAAAGAGGTTTACAAAAATACATTAAAAATCGCACAGATTGTTTTTTTGTACTTAGTAACTTCATTTAACTTACCACAAATTTGCTATCCATCTCAGCAGTCATCAGCAAGATGCCTTTGTCCTTTTGCAGGTCTGTATAGTGGTATAAAATTAGCTGGCTGGGTGCGTTTGCTCCCATTGTCTGAAATACAATTCAATTTCAGTAACTATGCCAACAGCAGTGTGGAGTTTATATTAAATTATATATATATATATATAAAATAATACCTGCACATTGATTAAAGATGTGAAGTGCAGTTCATGACCAGCCCACTGGCCCACAAAAAACTCATAGCCCTCCTTCTGGGGCAGAGTGTACAGAAACTGTGCAAAAAATACATTATCATATATTATATATCTATTATCAAGATTATATATCATTAGTATGAAGATTTCACTTTCTGGTAATGTACATGCTGGTACATAAGGATGGGAATCGTAAAAAAAAAATCACCTCATTAAAGTGATTTGTTCAGGAATCAAACTACACTGGTTGAGCTATGTGTTTGATTCACTAAAAAAAGATCCTGTCTCATGAAACTGATTCATTATGAAATCAGACTACGCTGGTTGTGCTGTAATGTGCTGTTTAATTCTTTAAAAAGAGCCGGCTCATTAGAGTCACTCATTCAGGAATTGAACTACACTGGTTGCACAAAGTTTGATTCATTAAAAATAACTCCCTCATTAAAGTGATTCATTCGGGAATTGGACTATGCTGGTTGCGCTGTGTATTTGATTCATTAAAGTGATTCATTCGGGAATTGGACTATGCTGGTTGCGCTGTGTATTTGATTCATTAAAGTGATTCGTTTGGGAATTGGGCCTTTTGGGCCTTAGTCAATTTATTCACTATAAAAAGAACCATCTTCATGTGCTTGATTAACTAAAAAAGACTGCCTCAAGAGAGTCAATGGAATCAAACGAGAGAAATTGAACTACACAAGTTGTGCTGTATGTTTTCACTAAAAAGAACCGACTTATTAAACTGATTTATTCGGCAATCGAACCACTGTCTGTTTCACATTTTAGATTCATTAGAAGTATTATGGAGCCACTGAATAAATTACGAAGAACACACACATTACAACTGCTAATGTCACATTTTTCGGTATTTTTCTTGGTTCCCAACCTTATTGGTAAGTTTTACAGAACATCAGAGGCCACAGATAGCCTATGATCAGGATATTCATAAGACAAACTCCTCATGATTGGCCTCATGAAGGCCACTCTTGAAAGTATCTACTGCCACCAAGTGGACATTTAGCATTTTGCAGGGTTATTTGATGGTATGACACTTCACAATTAAAAAACAACATACTTACAGTTGGGCAAGATTTGGCGCGACCAAAAATAATGTCAAATGTTGAGCCCTAAAACAGAGAATTACAAGGTCATTCATCTTGGGTAAAAATATAGATCTGATGACAAAATTATTAACAGTTTATGGCATTGTTATTACAGGAGTTAATAGACTGATAGATAATAATATATAAAACAGAACTCACTGGGATGACGGCACTGATTGTGTCTTTCTTTGAGAAGTACTGCATCCATAGCTGCACACAGAAGATTTGGTGTAGTGGTCTATTTAATATTTTTATATTTCTTTTACAGTACATTCTAACTGCATGCTAAGACTGTAAACACATTTTGTTTTATTAATATTCTTCCTCTTACCTCTGCAATTTCAGATTCAGATTTCTCCTGAATCATATCAAGGTTGAGAATAGACCCTAATGCCTATAAAATAATAATAAGAAAAAAAGCAAAAGATGCAAATGATAAACTGTAAATCTCTAATTTACCATTTAAATACGAATGAGGTAACTAATAGCTTACCTTATCTTTGGTGAAGCCCCCAGGTCCTGCTACCAGCTACAAATACAACAAAATGGGCAAATTATATGTCTTCCTACATATTGTATTATATTAAATGTTTATTATATTATCGTATATTACATTTACTAAACAATAATTGATGGTTTATAATGTTAAATTATATAATACAATAACACAAATACAATTTAATTCATTACATAATACAATAAATACAATTTAAACGAAATATATAGTAAAATATTAAAAAATAACACGTTAAACGTATAAGTAATTTACAAGTATGCATCAAAATCTAGCAGACCACCAAGGTAAATTTCTAAATTAAAAATGCAAATAAAATGTAAGCTGTGCTCATCACCTCTCTCTCCATGTACTTGACGAACTCTGCTTGTCTGCACTGTCCCAGCGGCTGTCTTCACCTCACTGCGCTTCTCCAGCCGGGCTTTATATTCTTGAGGTTTTGAACTGATGTTACAGTAGCACACATGTTAGATTAATGCCTGACAGTTTATCTAATATCAGCGTTTGACAGCTGCTCACCTCCGCAGTTTCCTGATCTTCTCTTCATATTTACTGTAATACGGATTTTCCTCCATCTCCGGTTCTTTCTTCATGGAAAACGCCCTGAACTGAGACGGCACGAGCCCTGGAATCAGCGGTCGGATTCCAGTGGCTCTCACCGCCAACATCCCGCGGTACAAACATGACATTTGTACCACGGCCGCCGCCATCTTTTCCCCGTCCCACATCTATGAGTGTCCGGAAGGAACAACGTTCTTCTTCTTATATTTTTACGGCGGTTGGCATCCAGCGTATTGGTGCATTACCGCCCGGAACAGCGTTTAAAATAGACACAAAATATATTGGTTCCTACACTCAAAATTTATGTATGGAATGGATTATTATGATGTCTCTTAATACAAATCTATGGTTATAACTGCATATTAAATACACAGACAGACATATGGATGGATAGAACGACAGACAGACTGATAGATAGATAATAGATAGAACAGACAGACAGATAGATAATAGATAGAACGACAGACAGACAGATACTGTAGATAGATAGACAGACAGACAATAGATAGATAGATAGAACGACAGACAGACAGATAGATAGATAGAACAGACAGATAGATAGATAATAGATAGAACGACACAGATGGATAGACAGACAATAGATAGAACGACAGACATACAATAGATAGATCGACAGACAGACAATAGATAGATAAATAGACAGATAGAACAGACAGACAATAGATAGATAATAGATAGACAGACAGATAGATAGAATGACAGACATACAATAGATAGATACCAGATAGATAGATCGACAGATAGACAGGTAGATAGATAGACAGAACAGACAGGTAGATAGATAGATAATAGATAGAACAGACAGACAGACAGGTAGATAGATAGATAATAGATAGAACAGACAGACAGGTAGATATATAGATAATAGATAGAACAGACAGGTATATAGATAGATAGAACAGACAGACAGACAGACAGGTAGATAGATAATAGATAGAACAGACAGACAAGTAGATATTAGATAGAACGACAGACAGACAGATACTGTAGATAGATAGACAGACAGACAATAGATAGATAGAACGACAGACAGACAGATAGATAGATAGAACAGACAGATAGATAGATAATAGATAGAACGACACAGATAGATAGACAGACAATAGATAGAACGACAGACATACAATAGATAGATAACATATAGATAGATCGACAGACAGACAATAGATAGATAAATAGACAGATAGAACAGACAGACAATAGATAGATAATAGATAGACAGACAGATAGATAGAATGACAGACATACAATAGATAGATACCAGATAGATAGATCGACAGATAGACAGGTAGATAGATAGACAGGACAGACAGGTAGATAGATAGATAATAGATAGAACAGACAGGTAGATAGAAAATAGATAGAACAGACAGACAGACAGACAGGTAGATAGATAGATAGAACAGACAGACAGACAGGTAGGCACAAATAAATAACTCCATAAATATAAAAATTTTTGTCATCAATTTTATTTGATATTAATTGTATTTATATTAATAACCCAAGATAGCATGTCATTGTGCGCTGCAATATAATTATTCAGCACTTCGATGGCTACAATGTATTTTAAATCATTAAAAAACAAGAGCATTATAAATTAAATATCTTATTTAACTGATTTGTGCAGGTGCTGAACAAATGTATCTGTGTTCGGATCCATCGATGCAACTTTTAGGAATCCATATCTTCTGGCTCTGAGCTAAAACACAGCTGGCAGCAGCGCTGGCGTGCTCCTCGTGATCCTTCCTGAGTTTGGAGAACGTCAGCAGTTTTCCATCTGTCCACGACCACTGTTTTGGACCGCCAGTCAGCCCTGCACAAATCACACCAATATGCTTATATACGGGACACTTTACATTCAGGAATGTGACGGTTCCTAAAAATACATTTCATTTGCTTACCAATCCAGAATGATTGCTTTCCAGCAAACTTCCACATCCACTTCATATCAGTCTTGGAGTGGATACTAACCAATTCGCTTTCAAGCCTAAATTTTGAATCATAGCATTATTATTTAAAAATTATATGTAGTATGAATGCATGGATGTACATGTTTCTTTGACAGAAAAGATGTGTAACGTACAGCATGCAAGCATGTTGTGCGCTGCTCCAGCTTGCAATACCAGGCCCCAAAATATAGCAGTTCCTCCGGTAGTGAGTCCAGCCATTAGGACAGCCAATACTAACAGACTTCTGAGACTTTAAAAAAAGAGGGAAGAATTATAAAAGGAAAGCTCATTATATTATAAATGAACATTTGACAAAGTATAAAGGAAGCTTAGATGTTCTCTTTTTGATCTATACTGTAAATACACAACAGCTCACTCACAGTGTAGGGCTAAGATATTATACCTTGTGTTGTTGTACTCCTGAATCAATTATAAAAGAGGCTGAGTCACGCTGGGGAGTTTCTACTGATTCAGCGTCAGCAGAGTATCCAGGCCAGGTCCAGATGGGAGTGATCTCCAGTTCAGAGTGGACACGAGGTGCTGGGGCCTTCTCCTCCACTCTCACTGGAATCAGTCCATGAAACTAATGGATGACAGAGTGAAGACACAGTGAACTCCAGCACACAGCACATTCTGATGTATAATAATAGAAAAGAAAAAAATAAATAAATACATGAATAAATAAACAAATTATAATTATTCTGAATAAATAACACTGTCTGAAACCAATAAATAAATATTAATAAATAAACAAATGACACTAATTAACAACAACAACAATTAAATACTATTAATACTAATAAATAAATACAAAAAATAAATAAGAAACATAAAAAGTAATGAAACTAAATAAATAACACAAATAAATAAATAAATAGTAGTAAAAAAAAGAATACAATTAAATAAATAAAGATAATACCACTAAATACATAATACAACCAACAAATAAATAAAATGAATACTAAATAAATAACACTACTAAATAAATACTTCTAATACTAATACATAAATATTACTAATAAACAAATAACATGACTAAATGAATAAATAAATTATAATAATACTAAGATTAAATAAATAGTATTACAACCAACCAACAAACAAATACTACTACTAAATAAATATTACTGGTAAATGAATAATATTGCAATCAGTAAATACTAAGGAATAAATAAACAAAAAACAAACAAGTAAATACAAAAAAATAAATATTACTAATAAACTAAATACTACAACAAACAAATACCACAAATAAATAAATAACAGTAATACTAAATAAATAACACTAACAATTAAACGAGGCAACTAACCAACCAAACAAATAAAGACAAATCCAAATAACTTTCTCAACAAACAAACAAAAACACTAAATAAATAACATGAATGAATGAATGAATGAAGTACTACTACTAAATAAATAAATAAATAAATAAATAAATCTTAATGAACACTCTGAAGTTAAGTAAAGGACAAAAAAGTTGTCATATTAAAACTTACTCTCCACACTCTTTCTTGATTTCTGTTGTCCACCTCTGACAGATGTCCCTAAAGCCACAATCAGATGTTAAAAATAACTACTACTACTAATATTATTTTTTTAATACCATGCTAACTACTAGATAAAGTAAATGTTGTAGCTGAGGTGACCTGGCTCACTCTGTGCCTGTTTCTACCCAGAATCCTCAGCTGTCTTTGGCCCGGACTGTGAAAGATCTCGTGGTCCTGATGTTCTCCATCGCTGTAATGGCTGAAGTGTGTGCGATACGGGACGTCCCCTCTTGGCGGATAATTCTCCCAAAGGATTCCTGTTCTTGGGTCTGGAGTGTATTCCTCAAGTAAGGGCGATTCAGGCTCTGGGACGTGTGGTGGGCTTTGGAAAGGATGTTGCTTCTCATCTTCTTCAACAATAAGCTCATCTGGATTACACCTGCCTGAAAGACAGAAATATTCTCAGTTTATATAGAAAGAGCAGAATGTGGGTATGGAGAACTTCTTTCTACCATTTCTAGGATCCACAATCTCAACTGTGGCTTTGTTCCTCTGTCCCAAAACAGCATTTTTTGGGGTCTTCAGAACTACATCAAATTTCTCATGGTTCTCTTCTAGTCCGTCATCTTTGAGGTAAATGTTCCACATTTTGACATTTACACCTAAAAACAAAGACAGACCACAGATTGAGCATATTCTCAAGATAAAGAGTCAAAAAGTTGAGGAAAGAAAAGTGACAAGCACCTGGATCAAACTGTATAAGGTTGGCAGAACTGTGAGTGAAGTCTTTCCCCACTTTGGCTGTTCCTTCTTCCACCTGTAAGATAAAATGATTCAATCATCTAAATCTTCATCTGTGCAGGATAGTAAGATTAGCAGAGATAGTTAAGCGCACCTGTATGCCGATGTACGCCGGATCTTTGCTGTTCCCACTGCGCACCACCTGCACAGCTAGAGCTCCTGCATTCTCACAAACACGATAACAGGAAGCTGACAGCTCCACGCGAGACCACCTGAACTCCATCCTGTGTTGGCAGTCGAAAAAGCCAAGAATCAAATTGGGTCTGAAATGATATTGTCTAGACTTGAGATAGAATCCAGATCATATTTGGAAATGTGGAATACAAGCTGTCAACTGTCTTACTTGCACCAAAGAAAATAATAAAAAATTATGTTTATTACCAAAGGCAATGGAATATTTGTCTGTATTGTAATTTATATTGTAAATTTTAATATTTATTATTATATTTTTTATATATTTATTTATATATTATTGTATTAGATTTTCTTATATATTTCTGATTTTTAATTTTAATAAAAACACTGATACATTTTACCAATTGAATTCTTAAGTAGATAGAAAAATAATCTAATATTAAAATAATAGAGATAAATATTTCATTACCTCTAGACCATTTTACACACACACACGCACACGCACGCACGAACGCACGCAAGCACGCACACACACACGCACACTATATTGAGGTAATTAAATATTTTTTATTGTAACAATTATAATTTATATATTTTTGTAATATTTGTACATAATGTATTTTATATATTTATGATTTAATATTTTATTAAAACGCTAATAATATTGCTAAAACCAAATGACTCACTAAAATATTAATTGGATACTGATTACATTAATATATAAATATAATTTGTAATGATGTAATGGAAAAGTTCTCTGGATTGATGCAGTATATATATTTTTTATAATATATTTACAAGTTTTATTGGAGATATTTGTGCTTATTTTATATTTTATTGCATATTTTTCTTATTTTATTAGATTATTTTATATATGTAGTATATCCAATACCATATATTTATTATTTTATACCAATGCTAATAATTTTTCCAAATGATAACTATATATATATATATATATATATAAAACACACACACACAAACACACTCTCGCTCTCTATTAATAATATATATATATATATATAAATAAAACACACACTCTCTCTCTATTTGCAGGCATATTTGTCACCTTATATTTATTTCCCAAATAAAAGTCTGTGATACTAGGTAGGTTACGGAGTCTAAGTGCATAGTTTTTTTTCTCAAAATGGCAGCCACTGTAAATTAAAATAACTTTTTCTCATTTTAGAAATATAGAAATGATCCTATTCATTCCTCTTTTTACAGTGGAAAAAGTTATAAATACACCTTTAACATTCAATAACTGCACTGTGTTAGTTCTGTCTGGAAATCTAAACAAATGATCCACAAATAAGGATTTATATATACAGTACACTTCAGGAAGCATGGTGTTTCCAGCGGGATCTGTGACTTGGAACTCAAAGCTGTCTGCTGTCACTTCCATATCTGCAGGAATGACGTAGCGCACTGCTTTCTGCTCCAGATCCTTCTGGGTAAAGCGTCCTTTGATATAGGCACCTATATCAGGAAGAAAATTCATTATAATCTGGACACAATCTGCGCATATTAAAAAGACAGTCGGGACCATCAGTGACCCATGCACCTGCCTGTGAGGACATTTTCAAGGTAACCGAAGTGTGGAGACCTCGTGATGGTGAACTCGAGTGTGTCGTCGGGACTGTCTGGATCTGAGGCGCGCAGCTCTTTGGAGGTGATGTAGATGCCCTGTTTGCCGTCCAGAAGATTCTCCACAGTACTTGGAATCCCTTTGTTTATAATACTGGGTGGGGTCTTGTCCAATACCTCTATCTATGAATATATAAATTATGATATAGTTCAGTCAAATCCACACAGAGTGAACAGTAAAACTGCATTCATGCTGCAATACCACTAGAGGGAAGCATTACATACCAATAACTGGGAAAGCATTCATTTCATAGCCATTGCAGTGTGGTTTTTAATCTATATATATTACATTCAAATTATTTTATTTTATCAACAGTATCAGAAAGTTTCAAAATGAACAAAAAAGTGAGAGCGAAAAAAAAAAAAAAAAAAAAAAAAACACTTTGAGGACCCTCAAATTTTATTTTTAAAAGTAATATTATTATATATATTAAATATAAAAATATATATTATACGTTATTTAGGGAAAACTAGCTATCACGTTTCACTATAATAAATATTTCTCATGTTTATTTTTATTTTTAAGTAAAAGTCACTGTAGTTTAAATCTTGTAAAAATTATTTCAAGTGTATCTGCCTTTCCTTAGTTTTTAAATATAAATACATAGCCTATTTAATTTGTTTGTTATTACATTTACTTAAAATGTTTATTTTATTGCATTAAATTTAAACATTTCAAGATGACAATTATCAAAATTTTAAGTGAGATTTGAACTTTTTTTTTAAAGTAAGTGCTTTCAGCCATCACACTTATTATTCCAATAAATATTTCTTGGATTTTTTTTTAAGTCAAATTTTTTATTGTGGTCTCTTTATTTATCTCTTTTTCTTTACCTTTATTTTTAAGGGAAAAAATACCCAACCTTTTTATAAGCTCCTCAGCTAAATTAAAAGAATGTAATTATTCAGGAAAAGAAAATGGCAAGATACAAAACATAAAACCACCGCTTATGGCCACAAATATTATAATTAATAAATTGTGTATATTTAAAACATTTAACAATGTGACCACTTGCCCTCAAAAAACGACAGTTTTGACATTTATAAAAATACCCTTGTTTTGAGACAATTAAAATATTCATCATTTCTTAACCAAAAAGAGATTGACTTTACTGAAATATGACATTTATGAAATTCTAGTTTTAAAGGACCAATTCACAGAAAATACTCTAATTTAAGAGGGTTTCCAAACTACTGCTATCAAAAACACATTTAGCATTTGACTCAAAATCTTTTCCTCATGTCACAACTAGGCTATCCTTCTATATTTTATTTAATGGTTCAAAAATATATTTTAGGTTTAAGAATGATTACATTTATTGCCCACCAGAAAAATCCCAACTCAAGGCAACTTAATTTAAACACAATTTGGACTATTGTTGTGTGGTATTTTTACAGGTAAAATGGTGTGAGGGGAGGTATAGATATTATTTATGACCTCCCCAGTCTCAGGGGTCGCGCGTTTAGACAAGCACATGCCGTATTTTGGCTCAAGTTAGCGATGTGCGTCTTCAGCCAAGTGACAACAAAGTTTTCGGCTGATTCACCTGTTCTGGCGGGAGCGGTTTTCTCTTTCGGTAGCACAGGGCTGGTAGTGCTGGCCAGCGCGTTTACCGCCTCGCTGACCGCTTCAACGGAATATTTAATTGAGGCGCGGGCCTCGAGAGAGCGACGCTTTAAGACATGGTGAATGGCACCGGACCTGCAGGAGCACCTGGCCAGCAAAGCCTCTTCGTTAGCATGCAATTCAACAGGGAGTGCTTTGTTAACCCGTTGCTCTCCTGCTGTGCTCAATGGTTTGCATGCAAGTCGTTTATTTGACAGTTAGGTTAACTAGGCTAAACGAAGGAAATCGTTTTCCTCACAGAAAAACCCCGACAGAAATTGTATAGCGTTATCACAATAAAACTATGGTATAACGTGGTATTAGCTTAATAATTAGTTCATTACGATTTTAAAGACTTTTAGAAGTGGATATAATACAATTTAGTGGCTTTTAGTCAATATTTGTTAGCATCTGAAAGCTGAATAAATAAACTTTGTTAGGATAGGACAATATTTGGACAACTATTTGAAAATCTGGAATCTGAGGGTGAAAAAAAAAAAAATCTAAATATTGAGAAAATCGCCTTTAAAGTTGTCCAAATGAAGTTCTTGGCAATGCATATTACTTATCAAAAATTAAGTTTTGATATATTTAAGGTAGGAAATGTACAAAATATCTTCATGGAACATGATCTTTACTTAATATCTTACTGATTTTTGGCATAAAAGAAAAATCGATCATTTTGACCCATGCAATTGATGGCTTTTGCTACAAATATCCAGTGCTACTTATGACTAGTTTTGTGGTCCAGGGTCACATATACATTTAAAATTTGTGTTTTTTTCTTCAGGAAAAATGGACTAAAAATATCGATGACTCATCCTGCACTACACAGATTTTTGACCAATCAGGTGCTCCCTAGAATGAGAATGCCCCTCCCCCTAATGCCACCTGCAATCACTATGGTATTTTGAAGTAAACTACATTTTTGTAAGGGGTTGTCGTAAAAATCAATGTATGAATTAGTAATTTTGTAGGCATGTTGTAAATGTACTTACATTTTAGAATATTTCCCACTTTTTATGTATATTGGCTGTGAGGGATTGTTCTCAAATCATAATCAGCCTACCTGTATGGTAAAAACAGCAGGTTCTCTCTTCAGCTGTCCATACTCCAAATAACCTCCGTTAGTTCCATCAGTAGGCTGAAAGGTGAACCTGTCGATCTTGGCCTGTCCATTCAGATGATGGTAAGCTAGATCCATATTGTTGATGTCCAGTTGCGTGAAACGAGGCTTAGAGATGGGTAATCCTTTCAAGAGCAACTTTCCATATTGTGGGCTTTGAATAACGACGTAGGTGAGATTCTCCAGAGCTGTGTCTGGATCAGTCAGTTTCAGATCATCAGTGGAAATGGTCTTCATAGAGCCCTCTGTGAGCTCAAGGCCTTTGTTGTTAGTCAGGGTTGGTGGGATACGGTCACTGTGTTCCACAGTGAAATGAATGGTAGCACTTCTGGATGTCACACCATTGGTAACAGCAAAGCTGCATGAGAGAACATATTAGTTATTAGTTACATGTAAGTTATAATTATAATATATTTCATTACTTATAGAAGACTGAACTGTTTTATCACTTTGTTTTCACTTTGGCCTAACACCCTTTAACTGTAGTAAAATCAGTGGTCTCTCATGCCTTATCACTTTATTCTAAGGTCTTGTCAGTTTTACAGCATGTTCTGAGCTGCTATCCTCACCCAACACAGTTGATGTGTTGGAGCAGAAAGATGGGACAGGGAGGGGTGTGAGCCGAGCCGAGTCCCCATTCCACCCTCTGCCAAGCCAATCTGCCTCCCAACACATATTGCCCTGAAGCTGATAATTGCCAGCCATGGTAAACAACACAACTGCCACCTCGCACTAGACTCGCAACCAAACACGCAGGTCCACTCTCACAGCCAAACTGGTGCAACATCTGGCATTGCCATTGTCCCATATTTGCTCGGTAATTGTGCCCAGGGATCCCTGTCTCTGACTACATCTCTTAGAGCCATATAACCAATGCCAGGCTGAGTTATTACTCTCTTAATAATGGCCATTTATCATCAGCTGTCACAGCAGAGCAGAGGGAGACACAAGGCTCCTAGAAAAAAATAGTCTCCCTGTCTCTTTTGGCCCCCACTGTCGGCCTGGAGTTTGACACACAGGTGTTTGCTCAGGTGTCTCTCCTGATCAGGGAGACCGGCTGTCGCATGCTACCTCTTTTGCCTCGCATTAACACAAATACAAGCTGCGAAGACACAAAAACCATTTTAAACAATGAATCCGTTAGATATTATAACCAAGTTTTTCCCCAATCTCTTGTGATTGCGTCGGAATTGCTAATTGAAAGTACTCGGAGTCGGGCCCCACATGACTAACGCTGAAGTGTCCATGTGCTGTGATTGGACCCCATACCACCCCATGCTGTGCTGACTGAATACATTGGCACAGAGTGCTCCGTATCCTCTCCGAAGGGCCACTCGCCTCTCGTCAGGCTTGGCTCAGGAAGGTTTGTTTGCTCTCAGATGACCCAACGATGAAACCAAGCCAGAGTTTTGGGTGTCAAAGATTCACACGAGAAAGGCAGCACAGGTCAACTGTACGCCCTGACGGAAGTCAGCCTGCTGCCAAATTGGCTGGAAACCCATGCAAACAAAGCAAAAATTATCCTTTTCATTTCGCCTGTCTCTTGCTTGGACATAATTTTTAATCTTGTATTGAAAATGCTGAGGTGTTGCCATCTGTGGGCTGGACTAAATTGCACAATTTATATAATGTTATATATTATTCATTCAAATATATATAGTGCACCTTGATGTGGGTATTCATGTCAAAACAGCTGGATTTTGTCTTGACTGAATATAAACAGGCAGAAGCAAAATGGCATCTGTGCATTTGGCCTTAGAGTATAAATTAAGTCTATTTAATCTACAAAGAACAATGAAAACCACTGACCTGAAAGAATCACGGTCAGCAAAACGGCTGTTGTCATGAGTGTAGCATACCCGGTTGGCAGCCACATCCATCTGGGAGAAGGAGAGCACTGGAACCCCTGGACTTTGGACCATGTGTAGGTGACCATGTTCAGGTGGGACTGATACAGTGTATAAGAGCTCATCTGGCTCGCTTCCACTGTCTGTGGCCATCAGAATGTCAGTGGTCAGAATGACTCTCTCTCCCTCCATCAAGGTCACAGGTTTAGTGATTAGAGCAATGTCACCTGTATGCGGTAAGAAGGTCAATTGGATTACAGAGGCATATGCATGAATATATGTAAAGCTTTGAAAAATATAAACATGTTACGTATAAAGCAAGTTATGTGCACGTAAGCTTATAGATGTTGTGTTAGATTTGTTTGTGACAGCAGGGACAGTGCTGGGATCTAGGGCCGGGACTACAGATGTTTGGCCCCAGCTCTGTTAATAATTCATGCTGGGCGTTTAAAGGTGGCTCATCCTTTGCAGCAGAACGTTCTCACCTCTGTTCCTCTAGGATAAGCCAGAATGGAGCCAAGAGGACAATGGCTAGCATGCTTCCACGTTCACCCAACTGGCAAAGTCATTTTGGCCATAGGGAAAGCCATTGTTTTTAATTATACATGCACAGATTTAATCTGTCAACAAAGTTGTTTGTGTTGGAATTCAATTGAGGGAAAAACAAAAGCAGCGATCAGTGAGTCACTAAATGCAAATTGGTCTGTCACTATGCCAGTGCTATAATGTCACTGGACAAATTTTGGATGGTCATAATATGTCATTGCATCTGCTGAACTTCATAACCCTGGTGTTTCAAGACTGAAAAATATTGTTTTTGAGCCATGCTGAGTTCCTACTATGTTTATAGTTCTTATAATTTGCTGACAATAAAACTTACCCTTTTGAACAATGCGGACCGAGATGAAGAAACTGTGTGGAGGTGTTGTGTTTTCCCCATCACTGAGAACAAAGTGAAACCTGTCATGACCTTTGAAACCGCTAACTGTAGTGTGACTGTACCATAGGCGATTCATCTCCACATCCTCCTGGGTGAAATTCAGACCTGGAATCAGATCAATCCATCCAGCTTCTGTCTGCAGGAAATCACAGAAAATCACATTATGACATATACTATTAAAAAAGGGGTGTCCAAACTTGGTCCTGCAGCTCCAACCCTAATTAAACACACCTGAACCAGCTAATCGAGGTCTTACTAGGCATGCTAGAAACTAGGGATGCTCCGATCCGCCTTTTTCGCCTCCGATACCGATTCCGATACCTAGGGTTCGGTATTGGCCGATATCAATACCGATCCGATACCAGTGAAGTTTTTTTCCCTCATTTAAATAAATGTAGAATTTACGTTTGTCATTCGCCGTTGCATTCATGTGCATGAACAGATACACAATTCTTAGCAAGTGGAGTGAGATCGGCAGACAATTAAGACTATATCTGGAAAAATTGCATGAAAATGGACACTTCTTACGTTCTTATCCCAAGATATAATGTATTTTAATTCATGCTTTTGTTGAAAAACGTTTAGTCATTCACACAGACATGACACAGCTAATGTTTTTTAGCATCTTGAGCCCTGAACCATGTGATTTTAAGCTGACATGTCAAATTAAAAGCATAGTTAAACTTTGAAAGACAAATCTCAAGATTGCATTTTGCTCAATACGCACAAAATGAGTGTTTACTCAAGAAATGTAAGCTGATTTCACATACAAATCAAAAAGACTGGCAATGAAGCTAATGCAACACATTCATAATTTCCTAAAACCAAAAGCTACGAGTCAAGTAGGGCTGTACGATTTGGGGATCGAAGCAGTTTTTAAAAATTCTGCGCCTACAAAAAAAATGCACAAAAAAAAAAAAAAAAAAAAAAAAAAATCTCGGATTTGGATCGGCCCTCTCTGACCGATATCCGATCCGAGAAAAATGGCACTATCGGAGCCGATACCCGATATGAATATCGGATCAGCGCATCCCTACTAGAAACTTACAGTATGTTACACTAAAGGATGGATTACACTATATGTCTTTTGCCCAGATTGGATCACACTAATGATTCCATTCTATGATTCCATGAAGTCAAAGTGTATGTTATGAACACTTTTGCCATTTTGAGCCAATTTTACAACTGTTTCATTCATCATCCGTTTCCTAGCAATGAGGTGCATGTTTCTTTTGTTTCGAAAGTCTGGTAGTGTGATCCGCAGGCATTTAGTTGATGACACCCAATTTTAGCTCTGTAACTATTTACAAAGTCTGTTTTAAAAGTTGTGTAGTGTATTCCAGGCTTAAGTAATAATGTAAAGGACTATCCGTCCTTGCTAACCTTGAGCTGAAGGAGGCCAAATCTGGGACCTGCATTGAGGTTGTAGAGAAGATGGTCGTTGGGAGTGTCATGATCCTCTGCCTCCAACACTACACTGGAGATGACTCTCTTCCCCAGGGCCTCGACCTCAATGCCTGCATTTCTGAGAAAAAAGATCGAAACGCTTTGGACACTAAAGGTACAGGTGCCAAGTCTGCATGCTAAAATCCAGAATCTTAAATAAATAAATACACAAACAGCTGCTTCTGGAAGGAAGAAACACAAGCAGGACCGGCCTGTTATCCTAATCCATTAGGACCTTGAAACAAGGATGCAGGCGTCTGCCAAAAAGACACATTACTTCTGCTGTTATGGAGTTTACATGCACACTCTTAGATCTTGCTGATCTTGGAGGAAGAGGATGGAATAGAAATTAGCAATTTACTCAAGGATGTAACTTAATTCCCAGTTACTCAGTCAGGGAGACACAGATTCCCCAGCCACATGTGCAGTACAGGTTGTGTTGACCCCCCTTCCCTAAACCCTATCCAGGATTGGCCTCCCCCTTCTGTTCCTGTCCAGTCTCCGCCACAAAAAAACCCTCCCCCGTTCCCGCTTTCATCCGCCTTTTTGGCTCTGAATTTGTCCCAGGGCGTCCTTACTTTAGTAGCCATGGCTTTTCATCATTGACTGGTATGATGCGGACACACGCAGTCCCCTGGACTGTGTGCCCACCATCTGTCAACTGTATGGTGAAAGCGTCCTTGAGGGTTTCGGTGTCGTCGTGCATATACATGATCCTCATTCCTATGGATCAGCACAAGAGAGAAAAATTCAACGAATATTTTAGCGTTTAGTGACATTAAGAATATAACAGTCATTAGGTACTTGATTCCTGGGAGCCTTTGACTGATATAGCTGGTTCTACCAATACTACCAAGAAGGACACCTGTGAACATGCTCCATTTTGTCAATGACCTGATCACCTATAGTTCTATGCCTCTTTATCACTCGCTAACAAGCAAAGCTGTGCAGTCACCAAATACCTCATGCACGGTGACTTAATTGTGCAGAGAGCAGTTGGAAAGACTTTGCAGATGAAGCAGAAGCACCACAGGCACTCTGTGACATCTGTCTCCTGCAACATCTGTTCTGAAAGCCTGGATACCCACAGTGAAGGCACTGAGGGGTGGCTGGACCAGGGAAGGGACTCTGTCCTCACAGCCGTCCTCAACAAGCAGATAGTGGTACCCCGGAAGTTAGGGGGGAAAAGTTTGTGGTACTACCAATCACATGGATTCAAGAACTGACCTTGTTGTAGCTCCTGTAAGGTGAAAGACTGGATTGCTAAGGTTCGTTGGAGGACCTCAGGGTTCATGTTTTTGTAGCGATTCATCTCAAGACCATATATGCCATTGACCAGTGTGCCATGGGCTGGGGGAACCAGAATGGTCATGGTAAGAGTATCTGCTGGAATATCAACGTCCACTGCGTTTAGAATATCAGGACTGAGGTCTTTCATCCCTCCCTCCATGACCTATCGCAAGGTGCAGGGCAAGACAATAGTTAGTCAACAGTTTGCTTATCGGATAATTTTGTCTCCAAAAAGTATATCTTACTGTAAAGTTGCTAAGCAGCAGTGATGGGATCTCATCATTGGTAGGGTTGATGATGACGTAGAAGGGCATTGGTGCTGATCTCTGAATCCCATCACTGACACTGATGGTAAAGAAGTCTGCTGTAGGCTCTACACCCTGGTGCACTGACTGGACATAGTTGATGAAACCCGAACTGAGGTGGAGCTGGCTGAAATAAACTTTATTTATACAATATGACTTTAGTGGTCTGAAAGACAAGGTCTTATAATAGGACATAAAAAAGATAAATTGTGATTTTGCCAAGTAGGACATGTCTTTGGATTTTAGGGATAGTGGCTCAGGGCTCTTAATCCCTTAAATTACATTTTAAATATTGTGTTCCTACCATGAAAATCAGTAGCGACGCACCATTGGACTCTATTGACTTTCCCTATATGGAAAAAAACTAGACATAATATCTTCATTTGTGTTTCAAAGAAAAAAGTCTTTAGAATGACATAAGGGTAAGTAAATGATGACATAATTTTCATTGTTGGGTGAAATATCCCTTTAAGTGCATGTAAATGAGGTCACTTATTAATGAGCATGTCCTACTTGGCATAATCACAAATGCTGGGTACGTTTACAGAGCCTCAGGAATACTACTGACCCACTCGGAGTCCAGCATTGCTTTTCTCAAAGCCAGGGGATGGAAGGGTGTTCTCCAGGAACCCATATTGTGGTGGGGTCACCAAGTGAAACATGAGCTGATCTGGATGACTATCAGGATCGGTTGCCTCCAACACCCCCCCACACAGACATGCACTGGTACCTTCATCTACCACAAACATGGTACCTGAAAAAACAATATACAGCATAATGTAAGAAGTTATACATTGGCATTAATCATAGCGATCTCATTTAGAGAGCTTGATGTGACTTCACAGACTTATTTTTTTTCTTCTCAAGAGTGCATCCCAATATTTTTCTTCTTCTCCCTCTCATTTACAGGCAGTTCCCCTTGCTCCCCTCTTTCTTCAAGAAAATGCCACCCCACTAACACTCCCTCTCTTCCCCTGCTCTCTCGCTCGGCTCTCGGCCAGCCCGCTGCCACCTGGGTGTTGATAAAGCCATCATGCCAATGCTTACTGGCATCTGCTTCCATTTACTGCACTGATAAATAATGAATGGAGAATGGGCAATGGAGGTTGTGCTTGGAAAGAGCTCTGAAACAAGGGGAGGAATTAATGACCACCAGTCTGGAGTAAAAGTGATAAAACTCGTCCCATAGCAAGGCAAGAGCTGGATTTCCCTCATTTTCCTGTGCTTAAACCTCTTATGCCAACCCATTTTTATTCAATGCAAATTAATTAAATGACAATTTTCTTCACACAAACCAGTCCAGATCTACTACACTGTGGCAACATTGGAGAATCCTCATTTTTTGATGGGGATTAGTCGAATTAGGAGATTATAATTGTGATTGAATGAGAAAAGGGATAGAAGACACAATGGATGTGACGTCTTTTCCAAATGCGGGCCTGTCCATTGTCTTCTCCTCTATGCCCCTATTGTCCAGTTGTTCTCACGGGAACATGTATCTCTTTCTACTGCGCTTTTTCGCCACACATGCTCTGCTCTCTCTACATAATCCCAACCAGCTGTGTGTACGTCTGTCGCTCCTCATACACCGATGACAAGCATGCTAGGATTTCCTGTGGACGTCCCACCGGCACCTAGCAGCCGTCTTGTACTCATTGTCTTGCTCCTGTCACTGTCCTTCATTGATAACTGCAAAGTTTCTGGCATTAACAGTGAAAGCCCCATCCTGGCAAGACGTCTCTAACACCCTGCTTCGAAACATACGTTCAGGGGAACGAAATGAAAAGCTGGGTGTGCGAAACTGCGATTAAGTGATTCATTCACCAAGCTGCAGTCCCATCACCTGCCTCGAAAATTCCTAGTTGCTTTATTGCTTGATTTAAGCGGATTGTCATTACAATTAATTAATTACACCTTAGCCAAATGCTCTGGCGATTAAATCTAGATTAGAGAGCATCTTTTAATCCATTCGGCCCCTCAACACAATGCAGCGCCAGTGTACGAAATGTCTAAGAGATTTACTACAGGCCCTGTGGAAGATGTTTACCCAGCGTTATGGTTGGGACCTGGTTGTTGACAGGCATCACAGTGATGTTGAGGTCATAGACCGGAAGCGTGCCATGCAGGGGGACGGGTGGGGGGAGAGCATCCTCTTGGCAGCAGCCATCAATTGTTCCAGCCTCTCCATCTGACACAATGAGAGTGACAGTGTCCGAGACAGGATCGGGTCCAATCTCACCACCTAGTGAATGGGGAAATGTGTTTATGTTCTTTTAATTCACAAAAAATACATTTAATGCACTTTCAGCCATAAGACTTTCACTGCGAGGCCTGCCTGTTACATATATCCTTCTTCTGCGACAACCATTTTTAGTGATGCATGATTGTTGACATATTGGCCAATATTACTTATAAAAACCTTTATTACAAAATAATCTTCATCAGCCATTTTATTGTGTATTTTCAGTATATTTTCACAAGACGTCAGCGCTAATAGCCTCGTGGTTAGTGTGCTGACATACAGCGCATTTGCGCTTGTGGCGACCCAAGTTCGAATCCCGTCTTATGTTCCTTTGCCGATCCCGTTCCCATTAATATAACTTTAAAAAAAAAATTTCACAAGACTATGCGCGACACACCCACCGCAGGGTCAGGATGTGTAAAACAGGCCTACAGGAAGTGACATTAAGTATCACTAACTAGCCTCCTGTCTCGATTATAACCTGTGTGCAGGTAGAAGATGAGTCCATTGAGCACATCCAGCTGGGAGAACTTGTCCACGGAGACCCCATTTCGCTGCAGCACCCCACGTGCAGGTGTTCTGGCAAGCATGTATGTTAGCCGAGTGTCCTCGCTGTCAACATCTGTAGCAGAGAGGTACTCAACCGTAATCTGGACCTGACCTCCCTCTTTGCAGGACAGTTCAGCCCTCAAGTCGGAGCCTAACTGTGGGGGTTCGTCGTTCACGGGCAGGATCTAATAAAAAATGCAAATAAGAAGCACTAAGGAAATATGTATTTTAATAAGGGAATACTGCATGGAAGTACAATGCAATGTGCCAAACATTAATACAATTTTTTTTTAAACAGAAGAAAATTACCTGAACTAAAAGCGTTCCATGTGCAGAGTTGATTCCATCTGTGATAGTAAGACCAATGCTATCCTTCAGGGTCTCAGAGTCATCATGAATGTATCTATCAAAATATAGCATGTATTGTTATTTTCAACAGATTATAATTATCCTCATCAATTCTTCTTAGGACGTGATTTTCCAGCCCAAATTTTTAACCTTACAAAAATAATCTCTAGTTTTTCATATTCATACCTGACCCTCAATGCTTTGAGGTCCTGCAAACTGAAGCTGTCTCCCTCTAGCAGTGCCGTGCCCTGCAGCTCCAGTCTTCCATGTTGGGGATGAGTCTTCACGTGTATCCTGAGCTGATCTTCTGAGCTGTCCACATCCTGCACCAGCAGGTGTTCCTCCATCAGGAAACTACCGCCACCTTCCTCGACCCTCAGCAAGTTAGTGAACATCTATGAATGAAAGTTTTGAAAATGGAATTATAAATTATACACTTTTTTTATTATTTAAAACTTTTGGTACCATGAAATACAATTATTTGAAAACCACTGCTTTTGAAAAATTTCTAACCATTTGAAAGGTCTAACTTGGGGTGGTCCTTCAAAATGCTGTGCCATAACAACAAAGAAAATTATAAACAACACTACAATATAACAATAAAAGAAGTGAGCAACTCACTTCTGGGGCCTGGTTGTCAACAGGTGTGACTGTGATGTTGAAGGTGAGTCCTGTGAGAGCGCCGCCCTGCTGGTCACTCACAGAAAACACAAACTGCACAAAGAGAGGCTCAGGGCCAATATCCTCTATTGGAGGCATGTAAGCCACTTTGTGGTGATTCACTGCATGCTGTGGATGACAAATAGACAGTATCTAACTGAAGAGGCATGTTATTTAAAATAACATTTTAGAGTATTACAATAGCGTGTAATATTTAGGGAACCTGTTTGTGTACACATTTCAGACCTGAGTAAAGGACTTGAGCACTGGAACCATTGCATCTTTTTTCATGGAGTTTGTGCTGTCGGTATAAAACATCCTGCCTGCATCTGATAACCTGCAAGAATTTACAAAATTATGACATTACATATTTTAATTTTCATGTAACAGCCAGTATTTGTATCTGTATTTGTATCTGCAACAGTCACAAAATTATTCGTATCTGATATTCGGATAAAACCTGGTGGAACGTCATACAGTTACTTGATAAGACCGTTATGACTATCTTTTTTTTCATAGTTATCACTGAACAAGTATGCCGTGTTAAACTAAAATAATTCTTAATTTCTAAAAATATATTTATCATGCAAGCAGAGAGATTTCATGACAAACGTTTAGTGATCATTTGAACACGACTGAATTAATTAAATGCGCACATTTTCATTACGCAGAACTCTTTAAGCGAGTCTTTTTTTTAACTTCACTAAACAAATGTGCTTGTGCCCCGCAAACCAGCAAAAGATAAAGATGCAAACATGTAGGCCTAGTAGAAAATGTATCTGTATCTAAGTTGATTATTAGTCTACTCTTGAGAGAGAGCTGGTTTGGTTTTTGAGAGACGCGCAGAGACGGCAATGCGGCTGTTTGATTGGTGAGCGCGCTGTGCTTATTCCATTCATTTGTATCATATCGTAGCCTAAGGTTTAAATCATTGCCTTTTATATATACAAATAATAGAACGTGCATGATGTATTATTATTGGTGATATTACTCTTGTCAAGCTCTGATTTCTGAGAGATGCACGGAGAGGCAACAGCAATGCGGTGTTTGATTTGCACTCTTTTCATTCATAAAGTTTACATTCATTCACTTCACACTCTATTGCTTGACTTTAAAGGTCTGTGTATAATATTGCGCTGATCCCCTGGCTCAACTGTTATCTAGCAAACACCAGACTGTGCCAGCCTCAGCCGAATATTCAGGCAGAATTATTCC